ACATCTGCACGCAGTATTCAAGATGTGAGTGTACCATGGATTTATATCGAGGCAACATATTTTCTGTTTTATTATCTTTCCCTTCCTTGATGATTCCTAACATTCTTTTCGCTTTTTTGACTGCCGCTGTACATTGAGTGGATGATTTCAGAGAACTATTCACAATGACTCCAAGATCTCTTTCTTGAGTAATAGCAGCTAATTTAGACCCCATCATTGTATATATGATTAGGATTATGTTTTCCAATGGGCATTACTTTGCATTTATCAACATTAAATTTCATCTGCCATTTTGTTGCCCAGTCACCCAGTTTTGTGAGATCCTTTTGTAGCTAAGACTGAAGCTTCGCAGTCTGTCTGGGACTTAACTATCTTGAGTAGTTTTGTATCATCTGAAAATTTTTCCACCTCACTGTTTACCCCTTTTTCCAGATCGTTAAATATATAGTGAGCACTGTACACTTTGTATTCTGTGTTGTAATTGAAATCAATATATTTGAAAATGTAGAAAACATCAAAAAATATTAAAATAAATGGTATTCTATTATTGTTTAACCGTGCGATTAATCATGCTGTTAGTCATGATTAATTTTTAATTGCACGATTAATCGCAATTAATTTTTTTTAATTGCTTGACAGCCCTAATATAAACCAGTAACTGCTATTAACTGTTCCTAACTGCCAATGAGAGTAAGGCTGTGAGGTTTTAGTCTGGTATTGTGGGTTGATCTCTCTTCTCCACAGCCATGAAATGCAGCCGTCTGGAGTTTGCACATGGTATTTTATGTTATGGCTGTGGGTACATTTCAATTCATAATGCTTATTTGTTCTCCTTTATAAAAGTGGTGCATATTGCAGTCGCAGACCGCTGCTGGAACTCTGTATACTTTTATGTTAAATTCTGCTAAATTAAGAAAATTTGATTTACAATCTAATTTTAAAAATAGGATATGTTGTATTAGCAAATGTGACTAAGAGTTGCTATTTGTTAAATTCTGCGTGGTGATTTGTGTGGCGTTTGCGGCAAACTCAGATCTGTAACCAAAAGCTGTTATGGGATTCAGTTTAGAAACAAATTATTGTAGCAGAATGTGGGAACCATGTGCTGTAATAGTGTTAAGATGGTGGCAACACTGCATTAATTTATAGAACTTAATTTTTGCAGAATTCTTCTGCTTGCTAAAATGTTTAATGTTAATTAATGTATTCCTTGTCAAAATGTCTTTGCATATTATTTAGACTGTAATGGTGTGTCAGGTTTATCTAATTCTACATAGAATGATAAAACTGCACATAATTTGCATTTGAGATGAAATACATCAAAGTACTTAATGTTTATGAAATTTTATAATCTTTTCCAGCTTAGTGTCATTGCACAGACTCCAGGGTTCACTGCTGTGAATGAGTATTCTGCTACTTTCAATTTATAATGTTTTTAAATGCCTTTTATGAAATTATTATATAACATCCTGAGTGCCCAGAGAAAGTGCTTCAAAAGATCATTTTTTATTTTTATTCCATAAGTAAGACTTACAGTTCCGTGTTTCTTGTTTCCCTCTTAGCCCATTGGAAGGCAGCTGATTGTATATACTTCACAGGTTGACTAACAGCAATTTTCTGACGTAGGCTGGAGATCTGTGCAATCTCCCTCAGACAACAAATGAAACTTGCATGCAAATTAGCTGCAGAGTAAGGTGGTGATTGAGTTACCTCTGATATCTGAGGTCTAGGAGTCTTGTTATGACATAGATACATGCTTTACTGTAGCCATATACTGCACAGGTGTAATTTGTAAAGTCAAAATGGCTTAGAATTTAAAAATGGGATTGTAGCAGACCAGCAGTCCCAGTGATGATTGAACCTGGTGCTAGTCTAACGAAAAAAGCTTTCATCCATGTTTGTAACTGCTTCCTTTGCTTCACTCTGACTCAACAGAAATTCTAGGCTTCAGGATGACACACACCGTGACAATCCTGGTATCTTAATATATAGATTGGGGTGGCCAACAGTTAAAGTATGGCTCTCGGAGCCCCCACCATTCTCCACCTACCAGACTGTTTGGGGGAGCTCGGGGCTTCTGCCCTGCGGTGGGGTGGTGGGGCTAGGAGTTTCTACCCAGCAGGAAGGGGGGTCTTGGGGCTTCAGCCCTGTTGGAGGCACCTTCCGGGACTGACGACTTCAGCAGAAGCAGGGCTGAAGTCTTGTGCCTTGGCAGGCATGCCCCAAGGGGCAGGAGCCCCAAGCCCATCCTGACCTTGCAGGTCAGAAGCCCCGAGGCTCCCCACCTCTCTGCAGGGCAGAAGCCCCGAGCCCCGGCAGGTGGCCCCACTCTTGAAAATCTGAAGATTGTCATATGCAGCTCAGAGGGTCAGTAAGTTTGGCCATATCTGATGTACATGTTTGAGGTACATTACTATCTTCTCCTCCCGTTCAGAATATGTCAGTATGGAAGGCTTTCCTTAATGTTCATTGAAGAGGTAATGGTCCCTTCTATGAAGAGTTCACAAACTCACCCAAATTTAATTTTTTATTATTATTATTTTATTTTTAGTATAGTTTGTATGACCCATTGAGAAGATTAGGGCAGAAATACTTTTTCAATACAGATTTTTTTTCCAGTTTTGAACCTTGTTTTCTTATGTTCGTGCAGATTGTGGCGTTTGACACAGTCTGGTAGATGCTGCTCAGATGCACCAGCATGATGGTATCTTTGTGCTCTGACACACCTCTGGAAATTCTCCACCTCTTCCCTTTCAGTCTTACCTGCTCTAGAAATTGGCTGTTAGGGAGAAAATAGGGGCAGCCAACTACTCCATAAAAGCAACAGAATTCAAAGTTGAGGGTATATTTATAAGCCAGGCTAAGCACTATTTTGAATACTATATAGTCATCCAAATTAGACATTGAGCCAAACTAAAATTCCAGATCAACACCCAGAGGCTGGGATATTCTGAACCTGGATCCTAACTTTTTAGATTGGGTCCATGTGACAAATCTCCAGCCTTGTCTCAGTGGGTCCCGCACTTCCAGGCAGATTACGCTAGCTTCAGAGGCTCACTGTGACCTTCCACGTAGCCCTTCTCTCTCTAGAGGCAAGGATCACAGCCTACTGAGCCATTTTCATCATAAGTCAGCAAGGGAGGTGGGAAGAAGCAACCCTCCCTCACACAGTCTCTGTTGTCTCACAGTCTCTGTGATTAACTGGGAAGAGTGTGGTGGGGGGGAGCCTGGGCCCGCACTCTATTCCGGGCTCCAGCCCAGGGACCCTAATAGTAGCAGCTATTGGTAGCTGACTTTTTGAAACAGGACGAGTACAATTCCCTGGGCCACTTCCCCACAGCAGCCCCCACTTCCTCAACATCTACTTCACCCTTACTTCAGGGCCTCCTTCCATGTGCCTGATAGGATTTGTCCTGCCCAGTTTCTCTAGCAACGCGGCTTCCTCCTACAGCTCCTGACATGTACCACTAACTGGGAGGCTTTTAATTAGTTCCAGCAAGCCCTTGATTGGCTTCAGGTGTCCCAATCAACCTAGCTGTCTCCACTGCTTTCTAGAAAGATCTTAATTGGCCCCAGGTGTCTTGATTAACCTGGAGCAACTGCCATTTGGTTACCATGTTAACAGGGATTTGTTTACCCTGGGGCTAACATACCTGTTTCTCACTACTTTCCCATAGTCATCTGGCCTTGCCCTGTCACAGTCCACCGTTTATGTTTGGGTTTTTTGATCCTTTCTGTCTGTACTTCTAGGGTGTGCGTGTGTGTCTGAAATATGGAGTGTATGGGTGTGATGGTAACATTTTGTTAGCATTAGTGTGGGATGGTCACATTTTTCAGAGATGTAGACTAGTTAAGAAAAAAAAAACTAGTGGCTGTATGATGCCTAGGGGATTGGGACATTAAAATAAATTCTATGAAAATAATTAGAAGGCAGAGGATAGGTGAGGTGGTCAAGGGTGTATGATAAATATATCACATGGTTTTGCAATTGCACCTGTGTACCAACACTGACACTTAGAAATGTAGCTATGTATGGTGGAAGAAAGTAGTTGAGATTGAGGAGGGCAACTTGTCACTTGAGTGTTGAATGATTCAGTGCATATTTCATTGCTTTTTTACAATTTGTGTTGGTGGCATATGTAGTCTTGCAATCTTAAATCAAAGTCAAAAAGGTTTTTGGGGATATAGATAACATGTCAGGCTTACACTGGGTACATCTTGTTTCAACCAAGAAGATATTTTAATCCTAAAGTTTTAAGTTTAAGAAAAAAAATTATAGTAGAAATCCATGCAAGGAACTTAATTATAATAATTATAATGCTAGAAGTAACATAGCAATACACATTTATTTGGATGCCCATAAGAGGGAGAAATCCAGTCTGGTAACAGACTTAGTGGTCCTTCGAACTCCTCATTTATGGTAAATTCTACAAGTCAGAGGACTGTTGCAGGTGCAAAAGTATGATTGGGTGTTCCAGTTTTCATGCCCGTCCTTTCTCAGTATACTGTGCAGTGAGTGTGTTTTTAGTGTTTCTTGAAACAATAAAATATGTAGTGCAAGCAATTCATTCGCAGCACTTCTCTGTGATTGCATGCGGACACCATTAAACGCAATACACTCTCCATCCCAGGGGCCTATTATAAAGATGGTATCTTTCTATATTTAAAAATAGAATATTTTATAGTACAGCAATTGCTATGGAGTGGCTAATGTTAACGTTTTAATGACACTGAATTTGCATTCTAATATTGAACTTTACTGAGGATTATATTTGCATGCAGTATTGTTGTAACCATATGATGATGTGAATTGAAGAAGAGTTGTGTAAAAGCTTGAATGCTTGTCTTTCTCACCAGCAGAAATTGGTCCAATAAAAGATATTAATTACCTCAACCACCTTGTCTCTCTAGTATATTTGCATGCATTTCTAAAGACCCCCATCACCATGGTATCTCATAAGATTTCTTATCAACAGTATATGTGTGTTTGTTTATTTCAGGAAAGACGTTGGTTTAAAGAGATTTTTTCCGAAGAGTTTGCTGGATTCTGTAAAGGTAATTATACTTCCCCTTGATCATGAGCCTCAAATCCATGAACAGCATATTTTTCAAATATTGGAGAAAATGAAAATGGCTTTGGATTTCATTAGTCTGCTTCAGAGACCTGAAAATTGGGTGATGATTTTGCTTTTATAGTAGTAACTGGGCTGCTATGGAAACATTTTTCTCTCAATGAGAAAAGTATTAATCACTGGTGTTCTCGCACATTGGTAGCATGTAATGCTAGGGCGACCATATTTCCCTACGCTGAATATGGGACACCTAGTAAACTTACTCGTATTCAAGTGAGTTCAACGGCAATCGATCAGAACAATGCAGTACAAACATCAAATTAACATCAAGTTGGCCAAGCCCCTGTTAAAAAGAAATACTGCTAGTTGGATTCTTTTTATTTACCCTCTTATTTTTAAGGCTTTAGGGTTCACAGGGGGAGGGTGACAAACACACCCCTACCTCCCTTCCCCCCCCCCACCCCCCACAGACACTCCCATACATACTGACCGACATGTCCCTCCCTTCCCAGGGCTCTCCACCCTCCATGCTTGGCTGGCTCCCCAGGATGGATCCACCTCCCCTGGCACCACATCTCCCTGAGGCAACTCGTGGGGGGGCACACAGGGTCACATCCCCTCTCACCCCCCCGATTTCTGCCAGGGTTCATGCCAGAATGTGGCCAGCAGCATCATTTTGGCACTGTGCGGGAGGGAAGGGATGGGAGCTGCTTCCAGCCACAGGGGAGGAAGAGGTGGGGAAGAGATGACCTGGCCCGTGTCTTTGCACAGTCATCTCTTCTCTCTCTCCCTGCCTCCTACTTGTCCTTTCCTGGCCACACAGTGCCGAAAGGCAGCTAACTCCTCCAGGCCGTTGCTGGCCACGGACATAACCCAGCCGCCTCTGGCTACAGCATGGGCAGGAAGGAGTTAAGCCCTAAGGATGCATTGTGCACCAAAGCCCAGGGAACCTGATTGCAGGGACTTCAGCGAACCCAGCCAGAGGGGTGACTTCACATGAGAGGGTGCCTAGGGGATGGAACAGCCCCCCGCCCCTCCCCCCGCCGCCACTTAGCTGATGGGAGGAGAGGATTCTCCATGCCAGTGCTGTGCAGGGCTTTGGTAAATGCAGGGCTCAGCTCCTCCTGGCAAGCGCCACAGGATGGAGGGTCTTGGGCTTTCCCGGGGCACCAGCCCAGTCAGAGGCAATGGGGGAAGGAAAGAGGCTGCCGGCCAGGCTGTTGGTGAACTGAGAGCTCTGACCAGGGGCTGGTTCTCCGCACAGCGCTGGGAGTGGGACGCACTCCGCTGGGGGCGGGGGGGGGAGGAAGAATATGGAGGACCAGTGGGTCGGGGGGGCAAAGCAGGGAGAGGACAGCGAGAAGGGGAGAACCTAAAGGGCCAATGGGTGGCAGCAGAAGCAACATGTAACCATCCGCCACCTGGCACCTGCCTGCATTCATTGGCTGCTGCAGCACACAGCCAGTGCTGGCCAGAAGTGGGGCAGGGCCCTGCTGGCTGAAAGCCAGCACGCAGCGGGGGCTGCACTGGCGGACCAGCAGAGGAAGCGGCTGGCCCCATGCGCTGCATCTTCGCCCCGCCACCAGCCTTGCACACCCACCCCAATCGTTGGATACTGAACCTCCACTTACCGCTGGTGGGCAGGCAGCTGGTGAGCTGGGTTCCAGTCAGCAGCAGGACCCACCAGTACTGATGCGGGGGGAGACAGAAAATATGGGACAATTTGTCTGTTTTTAAGAAAAAGTCGGGACACCTGCAGGAGGGCTTAAATCCCGGACTGTCCCTTTAAAAATGGTCACCCTATGTAATGCAATGTAGTTAAATAGCAGATATGTGAACTGATGAAGTTTGAGCTCATCGCAGAGGTGATTCACATGACCTTAGAGATTTAATATTTAGCTAATAGGATTACACTTCTGTCTTCCTTACCCAATGTAGTAGTGCTAGAGACTGCTCCCAAAGTAATCTCTCTGTTGTGATGTTGCTTAGAATGTAATATCTGAAGCAGAAGGGGAAATTTGGAGAGAGGAAAAGAGGAAGAGACATGATTAAGAAGTCACCAAAAGCATGCACTCCTGATAAACCAAATTCTGTACTCCTTGCTGAAGGCCCTGTCCAACTCCCATTGCAATCAAAGAAAAGATTCCCATTGACTTCAGTGAAGCTGGACTGAGCCCTCAGTCTTTACTCAAACCTCACTCTCAATGAAGTCAGTGGAATGCTGCATGATTTGCTCTAATGCTGGTATTGGAGGGAGGATAAGACAATTGTCACTATAATCTACAATCCTCAACACTGTTTTATAGGAGTCTTGAAATGAATGGGATGACTATGTATACTGTTCATATTCAGTAGTTTATATGCATACATTTAGAGACTAAATTGTAGTATGGCAATGGAGGGCAACTCATATGGTGTTGAAAGGTGTATTTTCATGTGTACAATATACTATTTTCAGTTAATAACTCTTACCCATTATGAAAAAGAAGAGAATGCTTAAAGGGCTTAATTCTCATTTTAGTTTAAGTCTAAAAAAATACAGTAGAACAGGGAGAAGAACTTCAAAAATGAATTGAACTTATTTAAAATTATAGAAGATGTGTATCCCAAATTCTACCTGAATGCAAATTGTGACAGTTTGTTGTGAACAACTCAGAATCAGGAATCATAATGAAAATACTAAAGGACCTATATCTGTGTCACTTCTCCTGTGTATCATTATAATATATGAATAAAATAATGAAATATTTTATATTTATCCTCTCTAATAAGATCTATTTAGTCTTGAATAGCAAGCATCTAAAGAGAACACTTACCTTTACAGAAAAGATTGTTACAAGGAGGAGGGAGAAAAATTGTTCTCCTTAATCTCTGAGGATAAGACAAGAAGCAAAGGGCTTAAATTGCAGCAAGGGCAGTTTAGGTTGCACATTAGGATGGTTAAGTACTCAGGGTGGTTAAGTACTGGTATATATTTCCTATGAAGGTTGTGGAATCTCAATCATTGGAGATTTTTAAGAGCAGATTAGACAAACACCTATCACTGATGGTCTAGATCAGAGGTGGGCAAACTAAGGCTGGGACCATCCTGCCCTGCCCTTGAGCTCCTGGCCAGGGAGGCTAGCCCCTGGCCCTTCCGCCACAGCTACGCCACCGTGCGGCTTGCGCCTGCCTACCTCCCAATAAGCCAGTCCTGCCACTCTGAGTGGCACGGTAAGGGGGTGGGGAGCGGGGTGGGGTTGGATAAGGGGCAGGAGGTCCCGGGGAGCAGTCAGGGAGCAGGGGCTGTTGGATGGGGCGGAGGTTCTGGGTGGGGGGTAGTTGGATGGGACAGAGGTTCTTGGGGGTGCAGTCAGGGGACGGGGAACAGGGGGGGTTGGATAGGTGTGGGAGTCCCGGGGGGCCTGTCGGGGTGGGGGTGTAGCTAGTGGTCAGGGCAGTCTGGGGACAGGGAGCTGGGGGGTTGGATGGGGGTGGGGTCCCAGGGGGCAGTTAGGGGGAGGGGATGGTCAGGGAACAAGGAGCAGGAGGGGTTGGATGGGTAAGGTTTTGAGGGGGGCTCTCAGGGTGCAGGAAGTGGGAGGGACGGATAGGGGGCAGGGGCCAGGCTGTTTGGGGAGGCACAGCGTTCCCTACCCGGCCCTCCTTACAGTTTCGCAACCCCGATGTGTCCCTTGGGCCAAAAAGTTTGCCCACCCCTGGTCTAGATAGTACTTAGTACTGTCATGAGTGCAGGGCACTAGACTAGATGACCTCTTAAGGCCCCTTCCAGCACTGTGATTCTATATTGCTGACCTGAAATTGAACAATATGTATCAGCGATGTATTGATGGACCTACAAGAGCCAAATAATGCTTTCCAGTATAAAGAGGAGGCAAGTTGGTATTGCTGAATGCAGCTTGCACTGAGTAGCAAGAAAATATCCTCTGATAATGAGGTAATTTAAGACACATAGGACCATTTAACCTAGGGTTTTTTTAATTTAATACTTTTTAAAATTTCCATAGTATCCTCCTTCTACCTTTTAATAGATGTTGAGTTAAGCCTAACATCCCTTTCTCCCCTTATCCTGTGAGGGAGGAAATTATCCCCATTTTAGAGGTGAGGAAGCTGAGGCCCAAAGTCATACATGGAGTCTATGACAACACTGGGGATAATACCTAGGTATGACCCTCAGTCCTCTTCTTTAGACAACAGGTTATCCGTTCTCTGTTATAATGACCTGCATGGTGATTGGTAAAGAGTGCTATCAGACTGAGCCAGACAAAGAGCAGTTTACAAAATAAAAAATTGGCAAAGCCTCTTTAACGAGTAACCCATTAAACATAAAATATTACTGAAAATACAATTCATTGACTTATCTTGACAGGATGCTGAGCTGATGCTGCTTGTTCCAGTTTGCTCTTACCATTCTTCCTGCATTCACACTTCCTATGTGACTCCACTTCTTCCCAACAGAAACTATAGTTCTTGACACTTCTTGAGCCTTTCGAGCTCTCTTAGAGCTTGATTCATTTGCTAACCAAAGTCAGTGAAAGAAATAGAACTCAGTAGTCGTTGGAATGGGCTAGAAGCAAAGTGCCCCAAACTAATTGTTCTCTTTATTTGTGTATTAATATCTTGATGCCCTGGTGTCACTCACTGCCCTCAGAATAATCCTCCCTTTTCTAAATATCTTGAATCATTCTAAATGTTCTGTAAAGACTTATTTATCTAAGGAGTATATAAAGGGGTTCACCCACCCCAGGATCGCCTCTTTGTGTCCAGGTATGGCATAGAGGCTGTCTTCCCTGTATGCTGCCCCCACCAATGGTTGCTCTGTTGCTGCGGTGGTCTCTCTTCCCACAACTTGTCTGGGTTGACTTTTCTTTCAGGGCTAGGATCCTAGGGGTTATTCTGACGCCTCCTGCTCCGCACCCCTGCCACCCAGTTTCCTCCTCACCACCTCTCTGTTCCCAGAGAATCACTGCAGACTCCCTTCCT